ATTAAGCGGTCGCTCGCGTTAAAGATTAATACCGTGCTTTAATCGTTAAGGAGATAGTTCGGGGAACCCTTAATATCCGGGGAGAACTCTAGGGAATTAAGGTTAATATCGGGTTTTTAGATAGGTATATACCCGTACTACCGCGGAGGAATCATGGTCCTTCCGGCGGCTTTAATCTTCTGCTAGATCGGGGAACGCTTAGCGAATACTTAAGCTAGTATAAGAAAGTCCTAGTATACTCCGATACGGATAGCGTCCTACGTGTTAAGGATATCTAGGCTATTCGGGTAGTTAAATTCTTATCCGAGGAGGAGACCGGCGTTAAGCCTTAGAATTACCTAGCCTCCGATATATAGTCGGCCGATTTTTAAGTCGTTACCTACTATACTATAAACTAGTATAGTAAAGGTAGCCTATCCTAGGGTCTTTATCGATCCTACGCTATATAGTATAGCCTACTTAGTAGGATTAACCTGCTTATCGGGGAATCGACTTAAGAGGTATTAGCTTACTATATAACGAGAGGCTCCTAAGTTAACGTAGATTTCGAATAGCGCGCCTATTAGTATACTATAGGCCTAAATCCGGGCGTATATATAGTTATAAAGTCCGTTAGATAGATCCTTTACTTTCTAGAAAGTATTATCGATTAGAGTCGAGTCCTATTTATCCTACGCTATTAGTCGGTATAGCTAGGCGTATTTTTTTTTATATCGAAGGGTTTTATTATTAAATCTTATAGGTTAGTGGTATTTACTATACTTTTAGTATATCTAATAAAGATCGGAATACTTAGGCACGAATCCGGGTCTATCGGCGACCTAATATAGTTAGTCGCTCCGTCCGTTACCCGCGCTATTATTATCCTCGGAATCTATAAAACCCTTAGAGTCTACCTTAGCGTAGTAGTACTCGTTTTTAGGTTCTATATCGGTATTATCTCCGGATATAGGTTCCGCGGCGGTCTTTTTAGCGGAGGCGTTTACCTAGTTACGGGGGCGGTCTCTAGGATAGTCCCTGTATTAACGGTTAGATTATGTATTAGCGTTATAGATTAGGAGTCGTTAACCCTTATCGTTAGTAAAGCGGTTAGCGTTAGGCGTAAGTAGGGCGCGGTTCTTACTTTAGCGACGGAATTAGCTAGGGCTAAGGGAATAGCGGTCCGGCTATAGTATACGATATCGCTCGGGTATAGGATTAGACCGGCGGTTATAATACCTTAAAGTGGGCTACTATACTATTATAATAAGCGGTATAAAGCCGTAGGATCCGCGGGTTCCCTAGTTAGCCCTAGCTAGGCTATATCGGTTAACGTAATGCTTCTATTCACCTTAGGTATAATTCCGATACTACCCTAGTATTAGGCTAGCTAGGGAGTTTATAAAGTCGGCTTACTTTACCTTAAGTCCTAGGCGGACTATAGTAGCGGCTAGGTTAGCATTAAGCTTATCCTAGATAATAGATAGGAACTTTTCCTTAGATTTATTAAAGTCCTTAACGAGTCGGACTACTCTATTAGCGAATACACGGATATCACGGCGGTTTATAACGTCTTTTAGGGTATATCTTTCCTTACGTAGTCTATACTCGGCTTCTTCGCGCGGGAGCCGGAATCGACTCTTTAGGCCGTTTTTTTAATCCTTTAGAGTGGCTTCCTTACTATATTACTTACGGAGTCTAAGGTCTATAATTATTAACTATTTAGAGGATTTACCTAGGAGGTAATAGGAGATACCGCGTATAAGGGCTTCGCGATACCCGGGGCTTATACTAGCATACTATTCTGTAGCGTCCGTAAAGCGGAATATATTAAGGAAGATAAGCTTAGTTCCTTCCGTGCGAATATCTTAAGTAGCGGTAAAATACTCCGGCGGGTTAAAATATCCGAGGTTATCCGCCTTAAAGCGGACTTAGGACTATTACGGCTATAATCCGCGCTAAAGCTCTCCGATAATAGTAAGTAAGTCGGATTAGCGTATATATATCTAGTCTCCGCTTATAGGAGGCGGCTAGGTTAGTACTAGAGAAGGAGGAGGCGTTTTATCCGGCGGTCCGCGGTCCTAGTAGGCGTTAGCGTAACTAAGTCCGGGTACGCCCGCGCTAAACGCCGTGCTTTTAGTATTAACCGGGTAATCGGCTAAGAAGGCGCGGCTAGGGGCGTTAAAAGGTTAACGATCTATAATAAGAGTATAATAGGTAATAGTCTTATTAGGAGAGATATAGGATATAGGCGATTAGTATAAGGAGGATCTACTTAAGGAGTATATTAATTCCTCCTCCTTAATAGTAGGTTCCTTATCCGTTATCTTTATAGTAAGATAGATAAGGAGTATAGTTAGTTCTATATTACTAAATAGAGTATTATCTAATACCGCTAAATTAAGTAATAGCCTATTAGGTCCTACTATAGCCTTTTAACTAATAAAGGGTATAGCGGAGATAGGTCCGGTAGGACTTATCCCGGTTAGACCGTATTTTGCTAGTCTATTCTTTAGCTTATCCGAGGTAATCGGCGATAGCGGACTAGCGGTAAACGCTTTAGCGACTTATTTACCTCTCTTTTTATCGGTTTTATCTAAGCTTACTAGGATCTCTTAGTATTTTAGCTTATAGATAAGCTATTTTTTAAACGCTACGGCGAAACGACTAGGATTAATCGCCTAAATCTTCGGATACACGCTCTCTAGCGTAATAACTAGCTTCTACGCTCTTCCTTTTAGGGTTACTACGCTATTAGTTTCGGGGTTCCCTAGCACGTTTATCGCCGATCGGAGAATAGTAAGTAGCGTAATTTACTCTAGGAGGAGAACGTTTTCCGCGAGGTACGGGTAATCCTTACTAAACTTTAGAAGAGGTTAGGCTCCCCTTATATTTCGTGGGAGGGGAGGACGATTATTAAGAAGGTTTATATCAGTTATAGTATTAAACCTTAGGATCCACAGTAAATACCTTAGTATAGGTTAGTACGGGCGCCTTTCCTATACCGTAGCTAATAACTATAGATTCCTTATATACTCTACGCCTAAACCTAGTAAAAGGGAGGCGTTATCGCCTAATATACTAGCGGGTTCGCTAATAAGCCTATATAGTCTATATAGGTGCGGTCCTTATAGGTTACGCCGGGCGGCGGTATATAAACCTTACCTAAAAGTATTAGTAATATACCCTATCCGGGTATAACTCTAGCTAACTAGCACTATAGGACCTAAACGGATCTAGGATTTAATATACATTATCCGGGCATAACTCTAACTAGCTAGTATTATTAGACTTAGAGAATCCAGGATTTAAAGGGTGACCTTTACTATAGTAAAAGAGGTATAATAAAGATATTTTATCTAAGCTAAGGGGGCGCGCCCCCGGGACTTGAGTATCTACAGGTGAACCCCGTAGAATCCTCGGCTTCTATATACGGGAACCCGGGGGATTCCCCGGTATTCACTAATTATACCCCAGGGAAGCTATAGTATACCCTAAAGGTATCTATAGCGTACCCCGTGGGTGCTATAGCTTATACTATGGAACCGCTGGGGTACCCCGTGGTACGCCCTGGTATTCCTAGTAGAATCCGGGGCGTATTATCTGACTACTCTAGAGCTATAGTACCGATAGCCCTGAAAAACGCGTTAAGTTAATCCTCTATAGTATTAGAAGATCTAACGCTATAGGTCTTCGAATCTCGGTATAGCGATATAAAGTCCTAAAGCTAACGCTTATAGGGTATCCTCCGTATATTTTACATATATTCTTCCTATTTCTTCTTAACTAGGGACTTCTAGGCAGTGTTAGTAGGTTTAAGATAGTCCTTTAAGGTAATCAGGATATCTTTAACCTCCTTCTTCTCCGCGTACTAATCTTTAAGGTTAGGATTAACTATCTTCGCGATATAGTCGTGAAGAGCAGCTAGACTATATTACTATTACTGATATTTATTCTCTTTTACGTTCCATAGCTTAAACTTACGATCCTAGGCATTATCTTCGTCACCTTCTTCTAGCTCTAGAGGTTCCGAGGATTCGAGCTTTTAAGAACGTTTAGATTCCTTAAGGTCTGGATTAATAAGGTCAGAGACCTGGTTAGCGTAGGCTATCTATATAATAGCCTCGATCTACTAACGCTATTCTTTTAGTCAGGTGAGGATCGTATAGCCTATCGTGGGCAACGCCGTAGATAAGGCTTTCGTCTAACTAACTAGGACTATAGGGAAATAAACTATCGAAACCGACTATAACAGACTAATTAAACGAGGAGCGATAGACTAATATAGGACTTAAGCGAGTTAAGCGATATAAATAATAGGGAATAACGGAATAATGGTTAAAATAAAGCAGGCGAATATAGCTAATAATACTAAGCTAACCGCTATAGACTTAAGGCTATTTTAACTGCCTTAAAGCTACAGGATCTATCGGAATAGCTTCGTTTATTAGAATGCCGGGCTTATAACTATTAGCACACAAAATAAGGTACGTAAAAGATATATATATGTATTAATGAAGAGTAAAAGATACTCTGCGGAAATATCTAACTATAAAGTAAAAGGAGCGGAAATTAATATGGATATATCGGTCGGAAGTACCCTATCCGTCTACAGAAATAGCGCAAGTCACACCCCGACAAGGTGGCTGTAGGCATCTGACAGGTTCGAAGGTATTAGCGGATTCGGTTTGATGAATTTGTGACCATCCATTACCTTTTTGGCGCCTTGTGGTCTGCCGAAATCTTCCTGCCGCCCTCTCTGCTTTTCCTCTCAATCCATCGCATATAACTAACCCCTTCCCCCGTCCATGTCGTGAAGGCTTGGACGATCGGAAGTTACATCGGACCACGGAATACGGGAGATCTGATAAGAGAGAAGCTGAGAGGGTCAGTGGATTTGCTGACCAATCCTGTGGGGACTCGGTGTATCAACACACCGTATGGAGAAACATGTATAAAGTTCATAAATACTGTGCACTCCCCGCAATACGTCAAGGTGTACGGCGTACGAATACGGAATACAAAACAACATCTCGGCCTTCGCTTTACGCGCAAGAGTTTCCCCGGGATTGGCGACGATAACCCATTTCCGTACAAGTCCCTGTAATCCCCAGGCTCTCACTTCAATTCTCCTTCTTTAGAATACCTTACTCTTCGTAGTACGAACAAGCATCGACTACTCCATCTCGTCCCTAACAACAACATCAACCCCGAACCCTGTCACCATGTTATCCAAAGTGATTAGCCCTGCGAGACTCATCACCAGGAGGTCACATGTCGTGCCAGGTACGGGGTTACGGGCAGGGTGGCTGCGAGTTACCACTGAGCTTGAGTCTTGCTGATATTCCCATATACTCCCATCAGACCAGTTGCTCGTATCGGAGCTTTTCTTCGAGGTGCCCCTCGACCACGCAAACCGCAGTGCAGGAAACCTCCAACTTTTTGGCAGGAGTGTCACCAAACATGAGCGGCCCATCGTTCCCCTGAAGGGGCCAGACGCCACCAAGGCCGAACAGAAGCCCTGGCTGGTCTATTTAGAAGGCGGTCCAGGCTTTGGGAACAAGGAGCCACAAGAGAGCCCCATCACGCGCATGGCCCTCAGCCGGGGCTATCAAGTTCTGTTCCTCGACTACCGGGGCGTCGGTTCAAGCACGCCCGTGTCCGCCGCCACGCTGCGTACCGTTGGCAACCCGTCGGCCCAGGCTACCTACCTGAGCCGGTTCCGCCAAGACTCCATCGTCCGAGATCTCGAGGCCGTCCGGGCTTGCCTCACGCACGACTACCCGGAGGAGAAGAAGAAGTGGTCCATCTTCGGCCAGTCCTTTGGCGGTTTCGTCTCGCTGACTTACCTCTCCTTCTTCCCGGAAGGGCTCCGCGAGGTCTTCCTGACGGGCGGTCTCGCCCCTGTCGGCAAGGCGCCCGAGCAGGTCTACGAGGCGACCTTTCGGAAGGTCGTGGAACGTAACCGGGCCTACTATGCCAAGTTCCCCGAGGATGTTAAAAATGTTCGCCGCATAGCGCGATTCATTCAACAGCAAGAAGGGGGCCGTGTGGCCCTCCCCGGAGGCGGCTTCCTTACTGTCCCACGGCTGCTGACCCTTGGTCTCGCTTTCGGCTCCCACGGCGGTCTAGATATGGTGCATGCACTTATCCTCAAGATGACAACGGACCTCGAGCAATTTGGCTTCCTCGACCGGCCTGTTCTCACCGCTCTCGGGCAGTTCAATCCCTTTGACACCCACATCATCTACGCCATTCTCCATGAAGCCATCTACTGCCATCAACCAGGTATCGCCTCCAACTGGGCAGCATTCCGTGTCGGAAAGGAGCTTGAGTCTTTTGCCTGGCTAGACCAGATGCCCAACCTCAGCCCGTCGTCCGATAATGATGATGATCCGCCGCTTCACTTCTCCGGCGAGATGGTATTCCCCCTCCATTTCGAGACCTACCCGGAACTTATTCCTCTCAAAGATGCCGCCGACATCCTCGCGTCGTCCGCAGACTGGCCGGCCCTCTACGACGAAGACCAGCTCGGGCGCAATGAAGTGCCCGTCTACGCGGCCAGTTTCATTGACGACATGTATGTCGACTACGGGCTTGCGAGAGAAACCGCTGCCCTTATCCGGGGCTGTAAGGTGTTCGAAACCAATATGATGTATCATAACGCCCTGCGGGCCCAGACGAACGAGGTGATGGGCCGACTCTTTCAGCTGCGAGACGGTTCCATCGACTGAGTGATTCTCCGGGGTAGGGTTGTCCGTGCTCTCTCTCTCTCTCCTTAGCGGTTATAAAAACTCCCAAGACGAAGCAGTGGGTAGATATATATCACCTAGGAAGCGGGATCATAAGGTGGTCTTTGAACTGTTTCTGAGTTGCCTTGAGGACCACCATCTTCTAGGCCGAGTGAAACAGGGAATTCTACCCATGCACTCAAATACGTAGAGCCGGAGGGTAGGCTCCGAGGAGAGCAAATGGTCACCACGCGATTCTCCAGTTTCTCCGTGGTCACCACGTACACGTAGTTCTCTGAGCCTTGGCGCAACACCTTCAACGTCCCCTGTGCCGCGATCTGCACCCCAGGTTTATTTTTCCCGCCTCGACTACCGAACCAGACCCGATGCGATGCCGGGTTGCGAGCCCCAGATAATACCACTCCTATGCGTGATTGGCGCGCGAGATGTTCTTGATCCCCTCTCCCTGAAGAGTGACCTACACGTACACTACTGCCTATTGTGCATCCCCGGTGTAATGACTACTGAGATGCGATATATGCGAAGCGACAGGTCTTGGGTCGAGGCATTGGTGGTGAAGACTCGGCAGCAGCGAAACTTACACATACTCATCCGTGCAAATGTTGGCTCTCGGAATGCGCGGCACCCTTTTGCAAGGCAACTGACTATTTTGTCGAGGAAGAGGAAAACGTTTGTCTTCGTCCGCCCCAAAACTAAAACATGCTTGGGTTGTCTCCACCAATAATGTCTGCATCAACACCAGACGATCCCTTTCCTTTCGTGGAAATATCCCCTCCCTTCTTGCTTTGAACATATCCGGGTGCTGGTGGCAGGGATATGAAGATGGGGGAGCAGTTTTCGTTCAAAGCTTCCCCAGATCGAGGGAACCGAGGGGAAGGGGACGGGTCCTTGTTTCTGCATATAAGATTCGAAGATCCCGCCATGCTGATCCGACCCTTGTGAAAGATTGATCGTCCTATTCCAACACCGCCGCAGTCGATTTTGTCTCTTTTACCTGCCCCATCCCCTCAAGATGCTTCCAATTCCCAGGCTCGCCCTAGCGGCTCTTCTCGTTGCCCTCCCGGCGTCTCTGGCTTGCCTGGGCCACGAAGGCGGCGTCCCCGTCGCCACAGGGCACCACTCCAACCCGCAGGTAATCGAAGTCGCTGCGGGACAAGTCTTCGATGGCGGTTGGGCGCGGTACGACCGCGGTCCGGGTGCCTGCAACGAGCAGGCCGAAGGTGACTGGCGAGACGCGGTCTTCTATCTCCGCCGCGGCGCTACCCTGCGGAACGTCGTCATCGGGGCCAACCAGGCCGAAGGCGTCCACTGCGACGGCCCCTGCACTCTCGAGTTTGTCTGGTTCGAGGATGTCTGCGAGGATGCCATCTCTGTGGTATGTCGTATAAACTACTGAACAGGACGGGCCGGGGCATTACTGATCATATCGCGAATGACAACAGAAGAATGACAGGGATGGCGATCATACGTGGATTATCGGAGGAGGCGCGTACCATGCCGACGACAAGATCATCCAGCACAACGGCTGCGGCACTGTGAATGTGAGTTTCCAAGCACTGGTCTGGAGCCCAAAGTATGAAGGGTTGCGGTGCTAGCTGACTGGTTATTCTGTTCAGATCATCAATTTCTACGCGGAAGACTACGGAAAGGTCTACCGCTCGTGCGGCAACGTATTACCCCCCTTTGCTTCTCCCCTCTCCCCTCTCCCCTTTCCCCCCTTCACCTTTGGCCCATCCACATTTTCTTCTCTGAACAATTTCTTTGACCGGATCGTGCTAAAATTGGGTCCGCACCATTCTACAGTGCAGCTCGCAGTGCAAGCGCAACGTCTATGTCGAAGGTGTCACGGCCTGGAACGGCGGCGAGGTCGTTGCTATCAACGAGGCATTTGGCGACACTGCGACGCTTGTCAATGTCTGTACCGATGCCAGTCAGGCATGCTGGATCTACGATGGCTGTGCGGGTGGCTGCTCTCCTCAGAAGGTCCGCCCCTGCTGAAGAGGCGGGACTCCTGGATGTCGGTTCGGGGTGTAAGTGAGCGGCTCTCTCGTGCTTACCTCGAAACGGGTCAAATGAGTCCACTGCAATGGTTTAACTGGAAATACAGCAGCGGTTTGTCGTGTATACCTATACTTCAGTGGTGTCTACCTTATGCGGCGCAAGGCGAACGAATGTTCATGACCAGGATTATAGCAGCACTTCGCTCCCTCAAGGCCAACGTCCTGAAGCTCGATGGGACCGTATTTCCTATCTTGCGACTTGGAAGCAGCCGAAAGGCAGCACACATTTGTGAACCATATCACCGGAAACGCAAGTTTACATAGCATGGACATGCCGCGCCCCGTGGTGCGTAAAAAGGGTGATGGATAGATACATGAAGTCCCGAGATCTCCACTGGTCAAGTCACAATGGTGGTCTGTGTCGGCATACGTTGTCGGTAATTCGGCTCGAAAGATCGAACGAAGCAAAAATATACAACTTGACTGTGCCGCGTGATGTTTCCGAAAAGTCTTATTTATGGTGTATTCCGAATTAAGGTAGGTACCTTACTTGGTCGCATCTCCATGGACCACACAGGAGAAGATCGATCCAATCGATAACGAGTATCCATCGATAAGGTACACGTGTAAAGAGGAAATGGTGGGGTACTGACGAAATACGTCATTGGGTTTGGTGCAAAACATTCACCGCTTTCGATATATAGACCGATAACGAGAAGGCGGCAGAATAATTTCTCATATGACTAACCGCGCATTTCAGTCATGAAATAAATTCACAAGGGCCGACGTCCTCAACTGCGAGATTGAGTCGTCCAGCGTCTCAGGGGCTCCCGTCCGAGAAAACCGAAAAACCCATACCCCATCTGCCGGAACAAGAGCGATAACGACAGACACTATGCCCAAAAAACCGGTCATTGGACTTCTCGGGGGTGGTCAGCTCGGCCGCATGCTTTGCGAAGCCGCTGGCCCCCTCGGCATCGAAATTGTGATTCTCGACGAGGCCAATTGTCCCGCCAAACAGGTCAACCAGAACGCAAAGCACGTTACCGGCTCATTCAAGGACCCAGAAAAAATCCGGGAGCTCGCCGCCCGATGTGACGTCCTCACCATCGAGATCGAGCACGTCAATACCGACATCCTCGAGGAGATCGCTACCAAGGGCGTCACCACGGGTCCCGGTACCGTCAAGAAGATCCCCGTCCATCCTTCTTGGGAGACCATTCGCCTCATCCAAGACAAGTTCTTGCAGAAGGAGCACTTCTCACAGGCTGGACTGCCCGTTGCCCCACAGATGGCTATCGAGTCTAGGCCCTCCATGCTGGACGCCTTGCGGGAGTCCTACGAGCGCTTCGGCTTCCCGTTCATGCTCAAGGCCCGCAAAGGGTCCTATGACGGCAGGGGCAACTTTAAAGTGAGCGGAGTGCAGGACTTTGAGGAGGCAGTGAACGTCATGGGCAAATTGCCCTTGTATGCCGAGAAGTGGGTGCCCTTCGTCAAGGAGTTGGCCGTTGTCGTCGTCAGGACCGAAGACGACGAGGGACGGCTGCGCGACATATATACATACCCAACTGTAGAGACCATCCACGAGGATAGTGTCTGCACCAAGGTTTACTACCCTCCACGGAAGGTCCCTGCAGATGTTTGCGAGAAGGCGAGAGGTGTGGCCGCTGGTGTTGTCAAGACTCTCAAGGGCAGAGGCGTCTTTGCCGTGGAGATGTTCCTCCTGGAAGATGGTATGTGGCCACCCTTTTTCAAAAATTCACCACGGATGAATAATATGTAAAAGTCGTCGTCGTCGTCGTCGTCCCCTACTTACCATCTGCTTGTAGCAAGCATCGAGGTAAACGAGGTCGCACCTCGAATACACAACTCGGGCCACTACACCATTGAGGCTGTCCCCTATATGTCTCAGTTTAAAGCCCAGCTTTGCTCCATCCTCGACATTCTCCCCCGCTCCCTCAAACTCCAGCCTCGAGTCTCCAGCGCCATCATGCTGAACATCCTCGGCGGCGCACGCGAGGATTCTCACGAAGCCCTCGCTGACCTGTCCGCGTCGCTCTACGACGACCAGATGGACATTTTCCTGCACCAGTATGGCAAGACGTCGAAACCTGGCCGGAAAATTGGCCATATCACCGCCACCGCCTACGCTCCCGATACCGATCTCGAGCAACTCGTGGCACCCCTCGTCCAGGAGGTGGACCACATCCGCCAAGGCCGTCTCGATGCCGCATCCGCTCAGCTACGGCCAAGCGATACGCCAGCAGCTGCCCCCTCGTCCTCCTCTTCCTCGTCCTCCTCGTCCTCGTCATCCTCCCGCGACCCCTCCGCGCCCCTAGTGGTAGTGACCATGGGATCCGACTCCGACCTCCCCGTCCTCAAGGGCGCATTCGAGATCCTCGAGCGCTTCCGCGTCCCCTACGACTTCACCATCACCTCCGCCCACCGGACACCACACCGCATGGTCGAACTGGGCCAGTCGGCCGCCCGCCGCGGCGTCCGCGTGCTCATCGCCGCGGCCGGCGGCGCCGCTCACCTCCCCGGCATGCTGGCATCCGAGACCACCGTGCCGGTCATCGGTGTCCCCGTCAAGGCGACCCACCTCGACGGCCACGACAGCTTGCTGAGCATTGTGCAGATGCCGCGCGGATGCCCCGTCGCCACCGTCGGTATCAACAATTCGACCAACGCTGCCCTGCTCGCGGTCAAGATCTTGGGCGCGACGGACCCCGCCTACAGGGACGCCATGGCTGCCTACATGAAGGGCATGGGCGAGGAGGTGGAGGGTAAGGCGGCTAGACTTCAGGAGATTGGCTGGAAGGCGTACCTAGAGAAGAAGTGATAGACTAGGCGGACCTAACTCCCTTGTTGTGAAGCAGTGCCCCATGGGCATATGGCATTGGAGACAGGGTACATGATGATATGATACCAATATGAGGTGGGGGGGTGTATGGGGGAAAGGGGTTCTAAAAGCATGGGAGGGATGATTTTCTTGTCTTTTAGATTTTGAAGCAGCATGGTCATTTAAGAGAGAAATGTCGGTCTAAAGTATTCCACAAAGGTTCTATTACAAACCCATCTGTTGCTTTAATCGACGTTGGACCGTAGATATATTATGGGCTGCAGGCCCCTCCCGCGATCACAGTATGATTTATATATACCGGGAACGCCTCTGGACCCATGTCCCCCGTCTCAAGAGCCCAGCGAGAGATGGATGGTCAATGTCGCAGATATCGTGACCCCTGGTAAACAATGTTTGTCCGAGCCAATTCCCTCCCAATAAAATAGAACCACATGAACCTATATGTCTGATCTATTCTTCTAAATCCTGTTGCATTTGGAGTTCTACAGAGTATCAGCTGTGCCTTTATTTTCCCGGGAAGCGAGATGTCGAACTTACGCCAGATCCTGTTCGCCGAATTGGAGATGACTTGGGCTTTGGCAAGAAGCTTGTCCTCGTACTTGATGCTCTCCTGAGCCTTGATGCGCACCTTGCTTGGCTGGGCCTGTGAGAATATTGAGTCTCCAAGAATCTCCTCATAGCATAGAACAGTGGACCGAGCATACTTGCATCAGAATGGGTATTAGTTCTTTGGGGTCCGCGTTGGCGACAGCGGCCACGCTTCGGAACCCATTCTCCCAGAATACACGTCTAGTTGGCCAAGGTCAGAGGCAAGGGGGCAAGGCATCGACCGCTACCGGAAATGGCGACTTACGCTGTCCTGCTCTTGATGAACGTAATCTTCGCTAGATCTAACAAATCTGCCCTCGCACCCGCTCTGAGCCGGTCTGAGAAATGATCCAATGCGGCGGCCATGATCCTGAAAAAGGAGAATCAGTTACTCCAAAAGTTGTACCGGCGAGGACCATCGTTTCGGGATCCTTACCCCCAGCCCATTTGCTCACAGAACTTGATCATGCCGGCTCCGAACCCATGGCATGTTTGAGAAAGCGTTTGGACCGTCCCCCGAGGAACGTCGTACTTGCGGGCGACAACGTGAATCGGCATCTCGTTGCATAGGTCACGTAGCTGGAGAGCAAGATAGAATCGACGGTACACCCGCATCACCTGCTCTTCCTCCGGTGTCGATTCCTTCGGGGCGCCGCCGTGGACCCTGAAACGCCCAGGTCAACGTGAGAAAAAAAGAAACAAAAAACCCCTCCCGACCGGCCCTCCCGTTGGGTTAGAAGGGCACATACATCCGGTTTATTACGGCTCGTTTAATGCCCAGGAAGCCAATGACCCGGTGCCCACTATCGTCAAGCGCCTCCATTTCGTTCCGGAATACCCTCCAGTTGACGTTGATACCGAAATCTTGGACGGGCGTGAACATATACAAGAGATGCATATCCCCATCCATGACGAAGCCTCGTAAGGCCCGTTCGAGCTCTTGGTGAATGAAGATACCGTCGTCCGGGTCAAGGGCAGATGCCACAATAGCTTTGCCTAGCTGAGTCGCCGAGTAATTATCGGCAGAATCCCTGGTGACGAAGCCCAGCGTTAAAAGATTGTCCAAGCTGGTTTCAATGCACGCCCGAACCAGGCCGAGGTCTCCTGATGCAGCCAACAGAGTCTTTGCGGCATATTCGTCTATGGTATCTCGACTGGTGGCTAGTCGAATAGCAATGACTTCGAGTAGTGCCCTGGCCCGAATATGTTAAGGAGAAGTCATTTTCAAAACACCAAAACCGAGAAGCAGTATTACCTTTGGATACGTTGCTTGTCTGTATTCAGACAACTTGAAATCTGAGGAAGATCCGCATGCATAAGATCCACAACTTGCTCGAGATCGTTTTTACGACAGCAGAGAAACGTCTCGCCAATTTCGTCTTTTCCTTTTCGTCCAGCTCGTCCGCGCATTTGTCGAAGCATCGAAGGTCCGACGAAATCACGCCCCATGCGGGCGTTGTGCAGGATCACCCTTCGAGCAGGCCTGAGAGAGAAAAAAACGAAAAAGAAAATGAGCAACTGGAAGATTCCTCTTGCAGAGGGATGACCTACAGGTTGATACCCGCAGCAAGGCTGCATGTGGCTACGCAGACCTTTAGTACGCCGTTGTCGTATGCTGTCGCGATGAGCTCGCGTTCTTCCGTCGTGAGTCCAGCCTATGGAGAGTTAGAGGTGTCAAGGGATCGGAATGGGTCAAGAGAAGACGAACATCTGCACCAAACTTAGTATAGGTCGTACACGGGGAAGGCCTCTCAATACTCACGATGAAACGCGACCCCAGAGGGGATAGTTTCTTCAAGAACGGGATCCAGACCCGTAGAGAGACTGCGTAGCTCCACCAGGAGATCAACCCGCTTGTCCACGAGGCCCGCATCTATTTCATCTGGCTGGGGCATAACTCTGGCTATCAGCCTGGCGTCGGATTCACAACCTCCACGACTGCCCGCAAAGACGAGCACGCCATAGCCTGCCCTAGCCGTCTCGTTCGCAAGTGCAACAACGGCATTCAGCACAGGATCCTTCAATTCCCGGTGAGTGGAGGACTCGATACGTTTGATGGCGTTCATGTGCTGAGTGGCATCGAGGGCCGCGTTGAGTTTACTGACGGTTTTTAAGAGGTCGCTCGTCGTCGCGGCCGGATACACATGGCTCTCGTACACGAGATGCTCCTCGATCGGAACCGGTTTGTATCGCGTCTCGTACGAGTGGGCACCAAGCCAACTGGAGAGCAGTTTGATAATCTGGGCAGGAAATTGCCAGTTCAGCAACGGACACCAGGCACAAAGGCGAATCGGGCGGTACGAACAGAAAGAGTTGCGCTCATGCCGACAATCTGGATTCTCTGGGGAAGAGTAAGCAGCTTCGTGGCCATGAGTTCCATTAGATAGCCTCGATGGTCGTCATCTATCATATGCAGCTCATCAAGAACTACGATTTTAAGATCCTTGACGGAATAGTCATCAATGGCCGTGTTTAATAGAGAGTTTGCCTTTATCGTACGTTGTCAGCCTTGGAAGCGCGGTCAACAATAGAGGCAACCGAGGGATTTCTTGCCTTTTCTATTGTGCAAACTCCAACGTCAAAGTCGGCCCAGGTTGCTTTAACTTTGCCGCCGCCAAAGAAGCCAACGACGCGAACCGTGTTATCATCGGCTCGCCGTCTCCACACCCGCTTATTGTCATCGTCATCGGCGGAATCCACGCATTTGGTCAGTCCAGCCGCGAGGTTCCGCAGCCAGCGAACCTTCTCCTGGACAAGGGCAACATAAGGCAGAACGAGAATTGCTTTGGCCCCCTTCTCCTCGAGAACTCTCTTCAACATGAGAACTGACGACTTCTCAGCACGATACTCAAGGCTAGGGCTAGGAGGATATGGTATTGGACTCTGGACTCACCATCGGCGACCAGGGACTTCCCGCCACCGGTGGGAGCACTGTAGACGAGATTCTTTTCTCCGGTCAGTAGACCGGGTGCCAGCAGGCAAGATTTCTGCCATGGATAGATGCTCTTAATGCCAAGGCTAGCCAAGTTCTCAACCAGGGGCCCAGAGAGAGCATACGTTGGATGGCTGAGAGAGAGAAAAGGGTCTATCGTGCTGGTGGGAGTCGATTGAATCGCCTTCCTTTGAGAGTATTCAGACGGGTGGTTGTCTAGAGCGGCCCCATGACTCGTAACCGAGCTGGCAGTGAGACGCGGCAGGCCGCTTGGAAGGCTGGCAGATCGCGTCACGGCGGGGACTGAGGGTCGAGAAAACAGGGGGGGCTCCTCGGTGGAATAGGCACGCTTCTGGCCAGCGAGAGAGGTGGTTGAATAGCTCTCTCGCTGCTCATAAACCGCCTGGACCGACGTCTTATGCCAAACGCCATTGATGCCGGCCATAGCAAGAGACTTGGGAGTGGGGAAGTTGACGTTGCCAACGCCAGATGATTGCAGGCGCTCGGCTCCGGCAGGTCATGGGGGTGTGTCGAACTAGGTAGCAAGCGTACAAGATGTGTGCAAATATAAAGAAAGGTCCCGGCATTGTGTGACTGTCAAAGCAAGTCGAAGCCGGACGGAAGTGGGCTGCATGCCTACCTTATTAGGCAAGGTAATTTGGGTGAAATGCAAGGGACGCAACGAACCGCGTCAAGGCAACGGCTTAGTGGATCATGAGAGACGCGAGATCATGTGATTATCTTGACTTCCTTCCACTCTGGACGATGATTGGCGGTGGCTGTGGGGCTGGGCTCGAGCGTAGGCGGGAGCACTAAGGTCCCTAGCCACTAAAGAAAAGCCGGCATTTACCCACGAAGAATCGTGAACCTCGGGGCAGCGACACGAGGTTGGCGTGTAGCGGAACAAGATTAGTGGGGCCGAAGTAAGGATGGGTAGACCCATATATTTCTCGCAGATGACGGGCGGTCATGCTGCGTGGTCTCCGAACGATTGGTGATGGGCGACGGACGAATCCCGGTTGATCGTTGGCTTATTAGTAATGGTGGTGAAAACGACACCTCTGCCGTGTCCCTTTGGTTGTCTCTGATCGCTCTCCATTCTCTGCCCGGTGGATAAGGCGATAATAGGTAGGCTTTATTGATCTTACTTTTCGATGAGAACATTTGATATCAGGCATTTAACGGATGTAAGCCGGTTCGGTTTTTTTATGTGTGTGAATAGAGAGATGACTGTACGTGTGTAGTCCATCTAAAGCCACCCCTCCTGTCAACTTAGTGATGATATCAAAAAGCAACGACGAAGACATGCGACAAAACGACACCAACTTTTTTTTTGTAAACAAAAAAAACACCGAACAGCAAATTGGTTGCTGCAAAAGTGAAGAGATGGCGTCTCCTCACGATGAATCCTTCCATGGTCTATCGTCTCTTCATCCGACATATTCGAAATAGAGAGTGGTCACCCTCAATCCCGGCGCCTCGCGAAGTGGTTATCCCAGTCCATCAATATGAATTCCAGCAGTCATATCCTAAAGAGACTGGCAATGATTTCGTTTTGGCCGCAAGCATGGAGAATTCCCCCATACGCTCGGCTAGCTCTGATGTTATAACCACATGTTGAAGAATCGACTTGATACCGACTTGCGACCATTTAAGCCGATGAAAAGAAGCAACTTCACAACCCTGGAACGTCGTATTCCACTCACAAAAGTTACTCGAATTTTGTCATGAAGAAGCCTGTCTTCTTTTGGGGCCATTTCACCCATCATTACAGATATGACGGTATGAGTCTGGCGCGGGAACGAGTGAGCATGGTCAGCGGTTTTTTCTTTAATTAGTCATCAACACGCACCGTTCTTCCTTAGCCCAATCCCCCAGCCACTTGTGATAAGCTTGGAATATTGTCACCAAATGTGGTGGCAAACCCCTGGACGATGTAGTGTACAGAGATATATCCGTAATGTTCGCGATCTTTTCGTGATGGACGATGGACGATGCCCTTTTTAGTCACTCGATTGTCCTTTGTACTTGATACTCCGTCATAGCCCAGGGCTCTTTTAGGGTCATTATTCGTAATTCCGAGCAGACGAAGATTATCTGTCAGACGCCAGCACCAAGACCCACCTACGCACATGATTGTTTTCGGAACCCATCCACGACTTTAACGGCGCATTAACATCCCAAAGCCCTCTGTGTGAGAAGGCAAGGAAAACGATACAAAAGCAATTAATATCTCGTCTCTTCATCATTGATCATCGGCCCAGTAGAATCTGTTGTGTCGCATCATCAGCGGCGATAATTGAGACTTGGATTTTCTCGAAGAAATAATCTCGGGGAATATGTCTGGCTAGAAGCGGAGACAAGACCATGTACGGTATACATATGTACCAGATATCCTGACTGGCGCTAGATATGCGGTAATGAGGTCCGGATGTGCATTGGTGTTCGATCGCTGCAGACATAGCCCTAAATTTCTGGTGTGTAAATGGGGCGAACCTGAAAGGATGTTTTGCCTTGTATTGGAAGTGAAGTCTAGCTTACGATGAGGAGAACGTTCAACCTTACCAAAGGTTGCTTCTAACCCCGAACGATTATACGAGAACGAGGGCTTTGAGGAGACGTCTTGAAGAGGTGATGTTTGAGGGGCCAAAGGGAGACGGGGAGACCCGCAGGAAGCAAGGGTTTTGGACCAAAACAAGGTAGGCCGTGTGAAAATTTTGGGTTGACGCTAAATCATTAACAGTAAGTGGACGGGTATAAGGGAGAAGGAGGCCAAGAATCCGAACGCATTTTGAGCCCTCCCGTGACTGATCATGCCCAAAGTGATACGGAACTACCCTACGGATACTATTTACCTATGTTGTACTGTGCAGCCTTGCACTGGAGAAGGGGCCCGCGGTCTTAATGGGCGGGGGGACTGAACGGATCGAAGCGCTGAGGTTACGCCCAGGTCGTCTGGGCGGATACGATCAAACTTCTGTTTATCGGCCCAGTGCGGACACTACCGATGCAAGATCCATGGGAGCATTCCAGAGAGAATCCAGAGAGAATATAACGTCAACTTCGTCTAGCCAGACTAATAAGCCTAACCCAGACGAGCTACGGTGTTTTTTTAATCCCCTACCACGGAATACGAAGCTTACGGATATTCGAGGAACAAACGAGAGTGTACAGAGGTAGTCAGTTGGGCGGAGATTGATGGGGCAACGACCCATCCAATCCGACGTGTAATTTTGTACCGTGGTGATGTAGTGTACCTTACGTTGTATGTACGAAGTAGGTACCGATGTATGGGGCAAGAAACACGTTTCGGCGGCTTTGTTACTCGGTAGACCAGGGTGCGACAAACCGAGGGGAGGGATTCTTTGGGCCCAGGGAATGGATATGACGGCTGCTGTTGGGGGTTTGGTGGCAGAGAACGCCGGGAAAGCCTCCTTATTAGTGCCGCGACGTTAGTGCTACCTGCATTACCCGCCCAACGCGTAAGAGAAGGGATTCCGACTCGGTCACCCGCGACCGGTAATAATAGGCATCAGGAGGAGCAACAACGACAAGTGAGAGAGAAATAGATCGAAAAGGGGAGAAGAGGAAAACGGGGAGATAGGGAGAATAGTAAGCAAGAGGTCAAGCATGATAGGAAAGCAAAATAAAGCGAGAGGCATTGCCGGCACGGCACAGATACAATTGTGCGAATTGCAGAGTACCTTAGTTACAAGATAAAGCAGCCCCCGAAAGTATATCAGGTTCGGGGGCGACGAACATCCACCACATGGTCGGTAACAAAGCGTATCCGCAGTTCGAGCCGACGAAGAGATGACGCGGGAAATCCCCTACTATCCCTCTCCAGCCGTCACGGTCACCCATAGACTCGACATATGTCTAGGCCCTTCCGGAGTACCTGTGACATGAAATGGGGACAGCTGTAGTGTCATGGTTTCCCCGTTCCTCCTCTTGCCGTCAACTAAGGTATATCGCATTAATGTTCCTCTGGGCAGTGAAATAATAATGAGGCCGTATATATATGTATGTACCTGCATGAAAGGCGGAAAGAAATGAAAAGGAGCCAGGGAACGTTTCTTTTACGGAGTTGCGAAAGAGAATTCGGCACACGCGGACAGGAGAGGAGGATGCAATGCAAAGAATCTGGAAATTATAGACGACGTACAACAACAGAATGAGGCGAATGGTAGAGAGAAAAAGCTTGACAAAGTCGAGTACAAGAATACAATGTCCTCGACAACCTTCAAGATTGAGGTATTGTTGGAATTTGGAGGCCAGAACCCTCTGGTTGAAGGAAGGACGAAGAGGTGAGGTGAAAGTGAAGGCATGTGTGTGTGAGAGTACTATCTGGGGGAGCGAATGATGAGCCATGGGCGGGTACTGAGATACTCGGTGGGTCCGGTAGCATCGGTATCATGCCGACCCTGGTCAGGTCTTCAATACCTCTGGACATGTCAGGCCTGCGCAGATAAGTTCGAAATACCATGTACTGACACTTTTCCTGCAACTGATCGGTACCTGCTGCGGCCCCATCAGCACCAAAACAGAGGGCCTACCGGACGCCTCCCACCCCCAGTCTGGGACGGGGCACCTTTAGTGGGAAGGGACCTTCGACGTTTCCCTTCCCTTGCCTAGGAGTCGGCCCCATCCCGTCTTCTTCTCTGAACTTCTTCCTCTTTTCCTCCTTCATATCTTCCGAACCTCACCGTCACACTCTCCGGGCCTCATGCTGGGTAGCATCCCAAGGGTTTTTATCCCCCGGCTCAACCAAATTCTCTCCATTCACTTCAGGGTCAACCCGGCCCCTTCGCCCTTCATTACCCTTTTCCCACCCCTGCCCATCTCCTGGCCTACGTTGCCATCATTCTTTACCTACTTACCCTACGCTCGGATTTTCTGGGCTCAGCTCGTCTTGTATCACCGACACGCTCAGAGCCGATTCACCATCATCCCCCTTCCTACTCTTATATCAGCCCATAGCCTTTATTGCCGAGAATCGGTTCACAAGGCTTCCTTCCCCATGGGCCTTGCTTTGTAGTTGGTGGACTTTCACAACTCGCTTAGCGGGCACAACCGTGAATCGTGCCTGCCATTCACCCAAGTACTCATCTTGAACTACCGGCCCTCTCGCATCTCATTATTTGCGGGAAGGGCCCCGATTAGTTTTCACCAAGACCACGCGCGGCAAGACGCGGTTCTCACTTTGGTGCCATGGCTCAGAAGACGGCCAGTGCAACCCCTTCGGGGGAGCAGTCGTCAAGCACGACTCCCTCCACCGCAGACCTTCCGGATACTGCCGCACCATCCCAACCAGGCATCATTTCTCGCGCAACGGCGTCCATATCGACGACGGGTGACCGAGCCAGTTTGAATGAGTCTGATCAGACACGGGCGCAGGCCGCGTCTCAACCGATGTCCAAATCCACCTCAACTGGGTCTGACCCCTCGGGAAAGGATGCCGCTGCGGAGACGGCCTCACCATATGGCACCCGGTCGCGGTACCGTACCGGTTCGTCTCGTCCAAATTACGCCGAAGACAAAGATATCGACGTAGACATGTACGATTTTATTCCTGAGAAAAAGGAACTCGAGTCTAAAAAGTCGTCTCGCCACGCCAAGGAGTCTGCAACCTCGGCGCAGGAACACCCACGATCGAATGGGTCTTCGCGTAAGACCACTTCTGCTGACGACGTGAAGACTCATGCTCTCGGCCACAGCTCGAAGGACGCGACGGTCGCGAATGCTTCTGGTGCGTCCCAAAATGCGGCCCATTCCGGTAACGCAGCGCCATCCAAAAAACGCAAGGCGGCTGCACAGGCATCGTCGACATCCGCTTCACAGTCACAGTCACAGTCACAGTCACAGACACCCGCGCCGCCAGCCGCGACAGGCGGAGGAAGCTCACGACGATCTGCGCCGACGACATCTCAAAATTCCAGCGGCTATACCTATCCGGGCACGAATATGCTGAGTTTTTCCAATCCTCGACTCCAGGGTGGTGCCTTGGTGGCTGATGACGGCACTTCCCTCAAGCCAAACGGTAAGACGGCACCCACTCACTCGCTCTCATCATACCTTGGCACCTCCCCAATGCCAACCACTCGAAACCATCAACTTTTTCCTTATATTATCTACCACCATCAATGCATAGGCGTCTGTTCCCGGGCCTTTGAAAGAGTAGCGATGCTGACAGACATCTTAGACAATGTATATCTGGTGTGTGAGCCTCCTGGTGAGCCTTACTACCTGGGCCGCATCATGGAATTCCTGCATGTTCAAAACGACCAGAGTAAACCGATTGATGCCATTCGGATCAATTGGTTTTATCGACCCAAAGACATCGGCAAGAAAGTCAACGACACTCGGCTCGTTTTTGCAACCATGCATTCCGACATTAGTCCGTTGACGTCGTTGCGCGGCAAATGCCTAATCAAGCACAAGGCCGAAATTCCCAAGATGAATGAATACCGGAGAACGCCGGACTGCTTCTGGTACGAGAAACTGTACGATCGCTACATCCAGAAAAACTACGACTTGATCCCCACGTCGCAGATCGTCAATGTTCCCGAAAAAGTCAAAAAAGTGCTCGACGAGCGCTGGAAGTTCATTATTGTGGAGCAGGGTCGTGGCAAGGAATTCACTAGCGCCGTGAAGTTGTGCAAGCGTTGTAGTGGGTACTGCGCCAGGTACGTGGTCTCATTTCTCTACCTTAGGTGGTGCCGGGGGTCCCGTGTCATGCGTTGTCCCAAGGGGGGGTAGTAGCACAGTGCGGAAACTAACAAGCAATCGTCATCAGCAACGACTCGGTGGATTGCGCTGTCTGCAAGAACACTTATCACATGAACTGTGTAAGGCCACCCTTGCTAAAGAAGCCTTCGCGAGGCTTCGCGTGGTCATGCGCGGCGTGTAGCCGTGCGCAGGAGCGGAAGCTGGAGGCTCGACACACCCCTAACATGGTGGAGCCCTCCGCCGACGCCGACGAGGAGGAGCTGTACGATGAGGAGGAGGAGGACTTGCAGGGCGTCGACACGGCGCGGACCAGCCCGGCCAATGCGGACGACGACGACGACTCTCATCGGACCGGAACGGCCGAGCAGATTTACCAAGCTAGCCTCTGGCCCTGGCGTTATCTAGGCATGCATTGCAAGCCCGAGGACGCGTTGGATTACGACGACCGGATCTATCCTCGTGCGAGCACTCGGGTAGGACCTCGCCATCAGGCTACCGTGCTTCCCTGGCCGGGTCGGCCGGTGGAGTACATGAAGCCGTTGGAGTACAAAAAGAGCGGGAAAAAGGACTCCAAGATGTCGAAGGAAGCGCACGCCGCCTACGAGGCCGAAAAGGCCCGACGCGAAAAGCTACCGAAATGGTTCCAGGACGAGCCACCTGGCTATGTGGCCCGAGGCAAGGACTGCGACAGCGACGACCCTGACGCCACAGCAACTCTGCTTTGGAAACCGCCATCGGGGGCGGACAATGGCCAGGAGGAAGAGGTCAGGTTCGATCAGTACATGAGTAAAGCGAAGAAAATGGCGTCCCAGCTCGGCTTGAGCCCTGTTTCGACTAACCTGCAGGACGTCGCGCTTGAGACGTACTTCCACTGTGGCTACTCGGCAGATCGTGCACTGGAGGTTCTATCCGAGACGGAAAAGGCCGCGTTCAAAGAGCCCGAGTTGACGCCGGCCGAGCAGAAGAAATTCGAGGAGGCCGTCACAAAATACGGATCCGAGCTTCAGTTGGTCACCAGACATGTCAAGACTGTGCCGTACGGGGCAATCGCTCGGTACTACTACATTTGGAAGAAGACCAAACAGGGCAGGCATATTTGGGGCAATTTTCAGAACCGCAAGGGCAAAAAGGAGGCTAAGAAAGCTGAGGCAGCTGCGAATAAGCTGCAAGACGACATCGCCGATGATGGGGACGATTCAGCCTTTGACGCGGAGAAAGCTGCCCAGAAGAAGAAGAGCTTCATCTGCAAGTTCTGCGGTTCCAAATCTTCCCGTCAATGGAGGAGGGCGCCAAATGCGTCGAACGCCCTGGTCACCGAGAATGGCGGCAGGAGCAATCAGAAAGATAAGAACGACCAGTACATCCAGGCCTTGTGTCGTCGTTGCGCCGAGCTCTGGCGACGTTATGCCATTCAATGGGAAGATTTGGAGGAGGTGGCCAAGAAACTGGCGCAGTCTGGCAACCGAGCCTGGAAGCGGAAGCAGGACGAGGAGCTTCTCAAGGAACTGGTCGCGGCAAATGAGCTCCTTATGGCCTACGGCACGCCCGAGCCGTCCAACCAGCCGACTCCACCTTCCACCTCGGACAACGGCGCAACCTCAGGAGAGCCACCCCGAAAGAAGCTCAAGGGTCTTCCCGCCGAGAAGGAACTGGACCTTGCCGCGTCAGACTCGGGCACTACTTCTGCCCCTCAGACTAAGAAGAAGGAGAAGGTCGTCGAAAAACCAGCCCCGCCGCCGGTGCCAGAAATCCCGAAACCAAAGACCATGCCCTGCGCCATCTGCGACCAGCTAGAGCCACTGGGCGATCAGCACCTGTCTTGCAAGGAGTGCAGGCTGACAGTCCACCGCAAATGTTACGGAGTTGTTGACAACCGGGTCTCTGGGAAATGGAGTTGCGATATGTGTATGAACGATAAGAACCCACAAGTCTCCATTGTAAGTTTCCCGATTCTCGTCTTTTCCTCATGGATGCGTTGCTGACCCCCCCACCCCTACGCAGCATTACAAATGTGTATTGTGTCCCGTGGAGTACACCGAACACGATTTCGTCGAAGCTCCGAAAGTATCTTCTCATAAGAAGAAGTCAGAGAAGGAGAAGGAGCGCGAGCGGCTGGAGCGTGAACAGGCCCATAAAGCGGCCGAATACTACAGGAAGAAGCAAGAGGAACTAAACCGTCCGGTCAACCCCCGGGAGCCCCTCAAGCGCACGGCAGACAACAATTGGGTACATGTCACGTGCGCCGTGTGGACGCCGGAGGTCAAGTTTGGGACTGCGAAGGCACTCAGCCCTTCGGAAGGGATCCCTTCGATTCCCCGCGTGAGATACGACGAAGTCTGCAAAGCCTGTGGTCACAAGGGTGGGGCGTGCGTGTCTTGTCACCATTGTAAAGCTTCGGGTAAGTCTGTGCGAGTGTGTGTGCGCGTGTTTGGAAAAGAAGACTGACAGAGCGATTTCGTTTTTAGTGCATGTTGAGTGCGCTCGACAGCACGGGTATCTGCTAGGGTTTGACATAACACCCATCAAGGGATCTCGACGAGAGCAACACAGCATTGTCACCATCAAGGGCGAAACCGGCGCCATGTCCGCTGCCATCTGGTGCAAAGAGCATGTGCCTACGAAGACGATCGTCCACCGGATGCACGATATTGTGAGCGACGACGGACACAACGCCTTGCAGCTTTACGTCCGAAGTTGTAAGCAGGCCGACCTTACGTTGACAGGCACTGTCAGGAAGGCAAATCTCATCGCGAACGCCACTAAGATGGCAAGTGCACCGATCACGACCGGAGCTCGACGTGCATCTACGACAAATTTGGCGCCGGCGACCCATGGTTCATCAAATGGAGGCCATAGCGAGTCGACGACGACTCGGGACCTTTCTCGGGTCTGCATAACCTGCGGCATTGATACAACGCCGAGATGGTATCGGATAGATGAGTCGGACGAACGCGACCTGGCGAACGGGCATTACGGCACGGAGGCGCAGAAATTCATCGAACAAAGGAAGTTCCAGTGTCACAAGTGTCGCAAAGCAGGACGAAAACCCAATCCACATCCTCCTCCTAGAGAACCATCGCCTCCTCCGAAGGAGCCACTTCCGGTACCGCCTCCGCTGCCACTTGCCCAAACGCCGCTCGCCGCCCCACTCTCGCTGAGGAGTCCGCCTCCCCTTGTTCCCTCTGAACCGAGGCGGCCGAGCACGTCATACCCATGGGGTGGGCCTGTTATCCCTCCTCCTTCTCACGCCCCTCCCCCTCCCCAACACGCCTCCCCTCCAGGAGGGCCTCCCCCGGTGATGGCGGCTGCGCCGCCTATTCAGGTGCCGGGACCGCCTCCGACGCACAGTCACCATCCCGCTCCTGGAACCGGCATGCCGTACGGCGCTCCTCCAGGCCCTAGATACCCCGATTGGCACGGCCAGCCGCATCCGCAACTTGGGTCACCTCCTGTGAGGCAGGTCAATGGCGTGGGCCAAGCGGGAGGAGCCTTGGGTAACTTGTCAGCTCTGCGGCCACCGCCATTATCTATGGCCCCTGTCCCTCCACTGCCGCCTGCTATCCCCAATGGACACCATGGACCAGCAATGCAGAACGGGCTCCCACCGTCACCGCATCGAGTTGATGGGCACCCACCTCCTATGCCCCACCCTTCGCCTTTTGGCCACCCGTACCATCACAATCTTCCTCCGTCGCATGGCATGCCCAACGGTTGCTTGCCGAACGGAGGACCACTACCGCCACCGCCGCCATCACGTGGTCCGGACTCATTCCCACAGAACCTCCTGGCGCAGAGGACGTCATTTGCGGCACCTCACGGTAGCCCCCCGGCGCCAGCTCCGAGAGACGGGCCGTTGGCAAGAGAAGCCCGCGAACCGAGCGGGCCTCTCAGCACACCCAATATTAGACCAAGCGTTCCTCCCAGACCAGCTGGGGCTAGCACAAGCCCTTCGCTCCGCAACTTATTGTCTTGAGCATCTTAGGACCACCCACTCGGAGAAGTTTCAGAGGCAGCAGTTTTGGCGTTATCTTGGTGTTTGTGTGGTTTCTTGTAGTCATAAGATGAGCTTTTGAGATTATGGTGCATGGATGATGGGGTTATACGTGTTTCTTCTTGTTCTTTGCATTTCCGCATACCTTTAGTATGTTGTCGGGTGTTACAAAAAGTATCGGGGCGGAATAGATGGAGAGGAGTCGATTTGATTATTCGGTGGTTAAAGGTTTCATCACAGCAGTTGAGGGACCATTGTGGGGTGGAAACTTAGGGAGCTTTACTTTTAGCGGCAAACGAGGGAGGTCGGGTTCAGAGTCCTATGCGAGAGGTCCTGTCCGCTTTGGCGGAGCGCAGCTTGGAGCACAACAGCAGCTAGACGAGAGCTCAACGGGTTCCCGTGTACGATTAACTACGGACTAATTAGTATCAGTGGGCGATTTGTTGATTTAACAGATGGTTAACACCCCTTGGCTATTCGCATATTGTATCGTTGGTTCGTTTCATTGTATCATGAAAATCGAAGAGTGGTTTAGCTATGAATAGGATGGACGATCGCACGCCGAATCGCTCGTCCCGGTATAAAATAGTAGGAGTATGCCTCCTAATAAAGACGCGGCGCTCATAATCAGATCCGTATCACCTCTACAGACCGGCAATCCTGAAATAGCACCTTGCCTTGCTCCGCCTCCACAACAGCAGAGCCTAAGCCAAGCCAATAGAAACCCAACAGCATCCGTGCTTATACAACGTACGAAGCGATTACCTTACCTAATTTAAGTTAGTGAGCCCAAAGTACTTCGTACTTTCGTACTGGGTACGCTTCCCTCTTCCGAGCCTCCTCGCAGCTCTTCTCCGTTTCCCCCCATATGAATACTGTTACTGGTTAGTCACCACGGATACATGGTAAGTACTCTATACCCCGTACACACAATACACACACCGCCCCTTTTATCCAATTTCGTTTTGGGTTTGTGTTTCGTATTTCGCGGGGCTGCCAGGGTCTCCCTCCACACTTTCACACACTCTCTCTACCAGGCTTGTTCTCATTAATCTAATTAATCAAGAAGCCTTGTTCGGGAAGCACAAAGCACAAGAAGAGACAGCGAGTGTGCGATTGACCTGTCATTAGCGCCCTGAAGAGGAGTGAGTAACCGGTAGCACACATCACTACCAGCTGCCGACATAATAAAGCTTCAGGCACGGGAGGGACACTGCAGAACCTACGGTATACCTACCTATACTAGAGTGCTACACTGTAGTGTTACAGCGCTCCAGTGCTCCAGTGCTCTAGTGCTCTAGTGCTCTAGTGCTCTAGTGCTCTAGTGCTCTAGTGCTCTAGTGCTCTAGTGCTCTAGTACTCTAGTGTGTGCTACTCCGTACACAGATTCCCTGGCCATCCAATCAGTGTCGTACAACAAAACCAATATCCGGTATTATCGTTCGCCTGGCGTTAATCGTCGTTCGTCTCTACCTTATCGAGTCCACTAACTGATACGTACTCCTCAAAACAGACCAGAGCAATTCACAGAAGTCCCGCCCAGCATTCGGCATTTCGAACAAACCCTCTCAACCTTACTCCATACCCCCCCGACCAACCACCCGCCCGACTACACGGCTAGTTGCAGGCCCAAAAGCTATTCTGACATCGACACGAGCATCGAGCAGCGAATATCGAATCTCCTCCCTCCTCCTCCTCCTCCTCCTCCTCCT